TGCAGGACGCTGTCTTGCGGTTTAAAGGATGTTGTGTTGAGGGGTGCACCCAGGCGACAACCTTTCGGTTCTGAAACATGAAGCGAATGCGGAAGTAACCTGGACTTGCATTCTTTCGAATGGCCATCAGGGGACGGCTCCTCTGGTTGCAAAAAAAGTCTGAGTGTATAGAAGTCTATGGTAAAAATGACTCCACTTCTCACAATCTCTAGTTTCAAGTCTTCTTCAATCCAGCATGATGCTCATTCAGTACATTATGTTGTAATTTAAAGCTAATAGAGTGTGCTTTAGGGTATGGATACCTTGTGATCGACAGGTCGCTACCACGGTGTTGTCTGTGTTTTTGTCTTACAACCTTAACCCTTTCATAATGTGTTTTCAGTTGATGAAAGTTAATTGTAACATTTTGATCGCCTAAAAAAACCAAGATGGTGACGGCCACAAATCAAGATGGTGACGGCCAAATGCTGAGCTCAAACCTGTGGGTGATGTCACAGTGACTAGGTCCACATCTTATATACAGTCAATGGATGCACCGCATCTCTTCGCAACACATACAGAAGATGACATCACCTCATGACATGCCAGAAAGTTTTGTGTTGAAAAAAAACCTTTATTGTAAGGCTCACAGGCAGAGCGTTTTGCTTTTTAATCATCTGCATTTATTACCACTGCACACAATTCATACAAGTTACAACATGACACTTGAAGCAACTGGCAGTATTTCTTCAGAAAATTTTACATTATGTCCAAAATTATTTTTACATCAGAATCATTTACATGTTTAAAAATTTAAAAAACTCAGCTGATCTGCTTCATACAGAATATATGTGTGTGTGGTCTTTGAACACATTTGCCCACAACTGCATCATATTTTGATTCAAGTATTAAGTAGTAAAATTGCTTGATCGGTGGACAGAATTACGTGTCATCATTTTTTTCTATAACTTTGTCAGAGTTTGTCTAGGATTCGACTCATAGTAGCAAGCTGGTTAACAAAAGGGCCTTCAAATGCTGAAGCCAATGTATCCATTTAAAGATTCAGTTCATCATAAAGCCAATGCATGTTGGAATCAGTCCAGTTTTTTTTCTTTTCGATTTTGGTGATAAATGTCTTGACAACAAGTTCTCTCAATCACTCTAGACACCCCTCCAGTATCAGTTTTGTACGTGTCAAGGATGACGTGTCAGGTTTCGCTCTTTACATGCATCCAATGTCTTTTGAAAATAAACTTCCAAAGCAGTTTTCTTCTTTTAGCCCTGTAACTGTTCTCTCTCCATCATACCTTCTCTCTGTATTTTCCTTTCTGTTTCCTCTTTTCCTTTATGAAACAGTGTGCATTCATACAGTTCTCTCTTTCATACAAGCATGAACATGAAGCATATGTTGTACATTTATCTGATTTGCTAAAACATGACTTTGTTGGAGAACTGAACATTATAAACGTTTCCCGTTTAATACAGTTAATTCAGTCCAAGCCAACGCAAACCAACGCCCTAAAGTAACAGTTTGAATCAACACATCTTTAAGGAAAGGAGTAACACTGGCTGCTTCAACTCATAGTCACAAGAAAGACATAATGATAAGACAATTTCTGTCTCATGGGCTTGCTTGGAAACACTTGGAAGCATGTACACTTCTACTGCTTTATACTTGAGTACGTGCATTCAGTCTCTGTGATGTTCCTTTGTCTTCTAGATCTGTTGACCCTGTGTTCCCTTACAACCGCGTAATGGATGTTTTCTTCATTTCTTTCACCCTGGTAACAAAATATAAACCACAATATTGTACTTGAGAGACATATAAAAAATTGTGTCCAGAAGCATTGCTGTGCCTGAATGTTTGAATGGTAGAACAGTAGATAATTTGCACAAACAATACCTCTGCATTTGTTGTGGTGGGAGCTGAACATCTTGCATGAGACTCTGTAAAAGAATAAAAAGTGCCCCGCACTATAAAACCGTGTTAAGTGAGCACACACTGTCAGCCACAAAGAATAGTAATTACAGTACCTGTACATTCACAGCGGTTTCTCTTGTTCATCATGCACAGTAAGAAAACCAGTAAGACACTCAGGATGATAGTGAATGCTAAAGCTCCACTCAAGAAATACTCCAAGACAAGAGAGTCCTCCTCATCTGTAGAGAGACAGACACCAGGAGACATTACAGAGCTGAAGTCTTAAGAGGAGACACAACAGGTGAATAAGGTGAAAAGTTAACTAATAGATATATCAACATGAATCTTCTCAAGTTGATTACTTACAATAAGACAATATATATTTTTACATATATTGTACATTGCCTGTGGAGTAACATACTAACAATATGAATATGAATAAATAACAAAACCTCTGAAGTAACTCACCCTCAAAGTCCAGCTTGGTCCCGTCTCCAAACAGTATGTGT